CCCCCCCCCCCCCCAAACTCGTTGTGCGCTCGCTCGCTGCCACACGTTTCGCCCCAGACCTGAGCTTCGTCTTGTCTGCCCCCTTCTTTTGGAAAACGGCAGTCATCATAGCTGTCAGCGCCTTACCATTGTTCCTCATCAAGGTGGTCAGGAATCAACTTGCTCCTCCGGCTTACAGCAAGCTCAACATGACTTAAAAGAGCGCGCACGCCGGCCAAATCAATGCGCTTTCTTCAGATCACTCGCTTGGCACGCTATTCGCAGGCCTGGCCTATGATTCGCGCCGCTGGCTGATGGTGCTCTTTTACGCCCAGCATGTATTGAGGTAATGTAGGTTGTCTCGTGAGCTCGATTACTTGAAATGCGTGGGGTTGATGCTCGCACGAGATGTGGACGTGCTCTGTTGGCTAGTGACCCGAGATAACTTTGTGTTGTGCTTGCTTGGAAGCGCGCCCACGCGCGCAGATATTGGATACAGATGTTGCAAAAAGACCAGCTCGAGAGAGGGAGAGGATTGAAGTGCTATGGCGGTGTCTGCGTAAGGGCGGATGCGCAAGCTAGATATGCACTTCGAGAAGCCCGATACCACTTTCCGAGCCTCTGGCAGAATCCGCGTCCGTCTCTCCCTCTGCCAACTTCTGAGCGTTGTCAAAGCCTTCTCCTAGTACCTTTCTTCTTCGGGACTGCATGCGCGCCCTGTTGGCCGCGTCGTTGCGTTGTGCTCGCGTCTGCCGGGCGGCGTCACGCTTCTGCTTGGCTGTCAAGGGTCTCTCTTTCCCTAAAGTCTTCGTCGAGGCAGCTACCGACTCGTCTGAATTCGCCGAGCCAAGAAGTCGGTTCGTCTCGTCTGATACCCTCAAGGTCGCAATGCGAGTACCGACGCTGGTCGCGCTTGCGGATCCGCTCCCCGCCGAAGCCGCACTTGGACTGCTGCTTCCGAGCAGTTTTGGACGTCTGCTCACTGTGTCAACCCATCCGTCGTCGCCTGGAGGTGTTTGACTGCGTTTCCTCGCAACGCGCGAGCGCCCCGAAACGTCTGCGCTGCCTTGCTCCCTCACAAGATCCCTGCTTGCGGCACGTTTCGGCGCCTTGCCCGCAACCCGTTGACCTTGCTCGCTGATATGCGATGCCTTGTCATCCGACTCATATTCCGGATCGTCATCGTCGCTTTCTGCAACGGTGGTAGCTGCAGAAGTAGCAAGGTCGACACTTGCCGCGCTGCTGCTCTGAGCAGCGTCCTCTTCGTTTCCGACCGATCCGCTTCGATCCGAGCGTGGGCTGAGACAGGTAGCTGACGAGTCTTGCGCTCGAGAGACCAGCATCTCGCCGGCAGCTTGCAATTCGGCATCAGCTGCGTCTGCCATGGCGGCCGCTTGCCATGCTTCGAGGGCATTCTCCCAGCTGCCATGCTGTCGAATGTAGAATCTGGCTCGCGTGACTGTCATGGTTGAATCTGTGCTGCGCATGAGAAGCTCTTCCTCGGAAGTCGGATCAGTTGACTCGGGCGCGTCTGCTGAGGTGGCGTTGGGTTCATGGATAGGACCACCTTGCGAAGCATTACTGGCAGGTCGCTGTGTGACGGTGGACGGGACTGTTTGTCAGCTCAGAACGACTCGTGGCCACGCTCCGATATGCTCACCTCTTTGATCCGAGGTAATCCCTTGTGCGGGCCATCCACATTCCTGATTGAACTGTAATGCTCCCAATTGTGGTAGGCGATGTAGAGGGGTCCCCACGCTTCAGCAGCCTTTGGTTGAGGTTCTACAGCCTTAGAAGTCGATGCAGATGGGCTCGCGCTCGTGCTAGCATCAAGACCGAGATCGGATATGCATCCAATTGGCACATTGCTCGCTTTCCGCTCTCTTCTGCGTCTGCGAACATCGCGATCCGAGAGCAGAGGTGTCTCTGTGCCGACAGGGATCGCTTGTTGGATACGTTGGCGCTCGGCTTCGCGCCGCTCACGCTCTGCAGATGCGCTCGGAGCCTCGCTGTCATCTACTGGCGAGACGATATACACCAAGCCAGGCTGCATGATCTTAATCTCTTTTTGAAAGAGTTGCGAAAACGCCGAAAGCTCGAGGTGGCCGCCATACGTGCCTGCAAATTGCGCAATGAGGTCATGAGCTTGAAGGGGCAATTGCAGCTTGCTCGCAGGGCTACTCACCATTCGTCCTCATGCCGCGCACATAATCCTCAAAAGTCTTTTCGACGTCGAGAAAGCCTGCAAACTTTTCTGGCTTGGCGGCAAGGTAGTCGCAGACCTGAAGGCGGGGTCCCTAAGCTCAGCTATGCTGGCACCGCAGGTGAAGATCAAGCGCTCAACTCACCTCTTCCCGAATGACGGCATGGTAGTCCGGAAAGCCATAGAATTGGTCGGACAGCGCTCTGAACAGACAATTGCCGTCGCCCATAGTATTGACGGCATACAATCGCATGTTGCGTAGCTGTGCATTGAGCTCCTTCTCCACTTGGGCGGGGTGCTCGAGCCCGTTTGTGAGCCTGGCCCCACTGCTTCGAGTCACTCGTTCGCCTTGCGGGTGAGGCAAGTGCAGGGAGTCAGACAGCGCATTCATGGCGTCTACACGCTCGCCGAAGTCCCACGCTTGGATTGGAACACCTCACCGCAATCCTCCTTCCACGCCCTCCGTACTCACCATTATTCCCTCGTCCCGGCATGGGATGTCTGCGGTTGGTGGCGCTGCTCGATTTGCTTTTGCGCCCAGAGCCCATTCCTTCGATGGTTTGCGATGAGGTGGAAGCCTCAGACTGGGCATCATCGCCAGCTGAAGCACCGGTCTGCCTGCCAGCACGTTTCGGAAGGGTACGTCTTGGGGCGGTGGCTGAAGCGACTGACCGACCCGCTTTCCTGGGTGGCATGCTTTGGAAGTGAGTCGGTGGAAGAGGCCGAAGCGAGCCTGGCAAGCCTCACGTACGTGATGAGAAAGGCTTGCTCGGCCAGCTTCGCGTACCCTTCAGGTAGCGGCGATGGGTGCAGGATATGGGAGATGCCTCATACGCTTCGATTGAGATTCAAGATTGATGACGCTATCTATACCCGAGTGAGCGTCGCTTGGCTGCGTACATCAGTGACGCCGGCCTCTTGCATGGCTGGCGACCGGCGCATACTCGTGACGATGACTGTACGGTACCGTATACATGCATGCTGTCCTCCGCTCTTAGCGTCTTTCGACCCTGAGCGACCTTCATCAGTCTACACCTCTACACAGCTCATCATGATTCCTCTGCACGGGCACGAAAATGGACAAGATTCAGTCAAGAGTCACAGTGTCGCTCTTCTCCCCCCAAGCGGGCGTCCGGTCTCTTCTCGTGTGAGCACGCAGCCACGCGCAACGAATCATGCATGAATATCGCGCACCGGATATGATTCTGATTGCTCATTCAAACATTGGTGATTCAAGATTGTGCTTGTTCATGACTCACACTATTCACAATCGCGAATCAGGAATCGTGAATCACAATAATCAAATTGTGAATGCTGACGAGTTATAGGACCACGAATCTCAGCG